AGGACGGCGCGGCGGGGGGCGGGGAGGGGGGGAGGAGGAAGCCCGTGGCCGGTCCTGGCTCGGCTCAGCCCCGGCAGCGAGCAGGGGCGCAAAGTGGGAAAGTAGGAATTGGAACCGGCTGTGGCTGCCTCCCAGCCACATGGGCTGCAGATAGAGCGGCGCATCGGGGAGGGGGAAGGGAGCACAAGTAAACTGGCCGTCGTCCGCCCTCCGCGGCCCACCCCCCACCCCTTCTTTTTTTTTTTTTGGCTTGCATTTAGAAACCTGCCAAAAACAATAGTTACGGTTTACCACAGATTAAGGACTTTGTTTTGTTTTAAGCAAACGGCGATTGGAGGACTAAGCCACCTATAGTACATCAAAGTATGAATTTTCATTCTTTCTCTACATTATCCTGTCTGGTAGGTTCCTGACAAAGCTTCCAGTGAAGATGCAGTTGAATATAGCTCCAGCTCCACGAGCAGCTCACCAGTGTGATTAAGGTGCTTTTAAAAACTAAATCCAATTTTAAAGTATTTTTTCTCTCAACAGCTACAAATTCAGAGTGAAAGAAAGGTGTGGGAAGGCATACTGAAAGCAAAATAGGCTGCGTACCCATCCACTCAATGACTTGCCTTTCTTTCCTGTTGGCATTTTTTGTTTTCCTAAGATGTTGCCAATGGGGTGAATACGTATCTACAAGTAGAATGCCTAGATGTGAAGGGTATATAAGACTGTCCAGGATGATTAAAGAAAGAAGATAATGCTCAAAATACAGTGTTGCACATTTAATAAATACATTAGAAACTGTGTTATCGCATGAAGTTGTATCCAGCTGCTCATACTTTGCATTCACTTCTGGGTTAAAACAGTGTACACGCCACACTCCTTTTTCTCACCAGAAGGCAGAATTTAGATAGCTTTCAGGGAAGCTTTGTTTTTAGTGGCCACGGTAGCATGGTATGGTACTTTGTGCTGAGTCCCTGTTGTCGCTTTCATAGAGAGGTGTTAATTTGAGCAACTCTCATCTGGTTCTGCTGTTTAGAGGTTGAAGACTATGAAGTGTGCTCCAAGCCTGCTCTGGAGCATGAAGCGCAGTGTTCTATGTGGAGGGGATCAACAGATCTGCTTCAGAAGCACACTGGCAGTCTGAAAAAACCTTGAGGATAAGGGATAAGGCTTGGCTTCATCAAAGGAATATCACTGAGCATCTTGATTCTTAGCTCCTGTAGTTATCTGAGGCTGGGCCTTATGAAGAAGAATCTTTGTGTAGTGGTAGGTGCATTGTGCTGGTGTGGGAAGTCATATTTAAGGCAGGGGAGTGATATTTTAGATAACGTGGATGAATTTTGTGAGTATTTTCTGAAATTAATTTAGCAGCTCTGAATTATAGTTTGCTCATAGGGAAAACCCAGTGTGAACAATAATGTGCTGGAATATGGTTATGGCAAGGTGAGCTGGTTAAAGGGGATTGCGACATTTAAAGCTAGAGTTTTTGTTTTGTTGTGGTTTTTTTTTGGTGAGAAATGGCAGTTGCATAGGTAGTCTTAATAAGCTTAAGTACTAATACCCACAAATCTTCTTACAGGGGAAGGCACCATAGTATATTGTATCAAGTTTGGAAGCAAAGATGGTGGACATCAGGGTGGTCAAATTCCAGAACTTGCCAACTTCTGCAGACATGCACTATCTTGTCATCCACAATCATGTTCTTAAGATTAACTTGATTTAAAATTGTGTCCTAAATTGTCACTTCATTGTTTTCTGAGGGTGGTCAGAAGTTTGTCTGCTTCTCTACTGAAGTGGAGTTTCTGGTTTGATTATTATTTTTTTTTATTTCAAGCAGTACATGCTTGATTTGTAAGGTACTTTTTTCCTGAAATAAATCTGAGTAAGTTTCACAGGAGGAATTTTTTAGTAGCTTTTTTTCCTCTTTTCCCAGGTTATAAAATAAGCCCATCCAGCATTCATTCATGATTCGAATGTCTATGGGTTAAGAATCAAGACCTTTTAGTTCAGTCTCTTCCTTACTGAATATATTTTCATTTGCTAGCTTTTTCTCTTCAGTATCTTTCACATCATGTCTAATATTCAGGACAAAGTAGGGGGATTTCTTTTCATCTTACAAAGACTGTATGTTTCTTTCCTCGTTCTCTACAATGAAGCCACTACAGTGCAAGGGAAGATATCCTGGCTCTTAAAGTTTTCTTCAATTCTGAACAAAGCCTAATTGACTTTTCCCTGTGACAAATTTGCTTCACTCTAGTGTACTTTAAATACTGACATTTTAGAACACCATTCTGTATAATGCTGTGCTTATTTTCTGTCCCTTTGGGTTTTCCTTTTGAAATATGCTCAAGCTTATAAGGGCAATTTATGAACTGTCCTTCCTGTAGAAGCACCCTAGATCTTTTTCTAGTCATGCATCATTGCAAATACTAAAGGTTTAAGTCAAATTGTATCTTATGTATTGCTTGTGATTTATGCTTTCTGGCACTTAGCCAACATTATTATTTTCACTGGGTTAGGGGAATAATAAGTGACAAGAATTTAATAAAAAAAAATGTTACGAGTGATTCTTTAGAAGCGAATTCATCACACACTTGTTCTCAGACTGGAAATATTTTATACCATAAACAAAAATATACAATGAGGTTTTCACAGATTTTTTTTAAAGTTCAAATAGGAAGTTATTATTCAAAATACATTAGGAACCCATCTGTTTGGATAAAAGATGCCACATTTGCTTTACCACTTTGGAATAGGAACTTTCCAGCTGCAGTAGTTCTTGTTATCCTAGCACACAATGAAATTATTAATGATTGAGAAATAGTAATCTTTTTTTACCCCAGACTGAAAAAGCATAAATCCAACTCTGAAAAACAGGACAGTGGGAATGAAAAAGTGGCCTATTCTTAAAAGTTTTAAAGGTTATCTTAAAATACACCTTCATGGTTAAGATTTGAAGTACAAGGACTTTTAAGGGCCAAGAACAGACATCTATTCCTATGATGATTATGAGAGAACTGACCTTAAATAAGATATTGTTTGGCTAAATAGTATTCATATGTTTGTTATGCCTAAGACCAAATACCTCTATGAATTTCTTTTTGGTTGTTTTTTCAAGAGGTGTTATGTAGGCACTGGTCAGAGGACTGGTGGTTGAAAGTTGAAAGTGAACACATATTTGTAAGCAGAATACAAACTGGAGTGAAAGAAGCAGCATGCTCTGTGTAGCCTATCCCAGTGTATACTGGGACTGTAGCAATATCCCCATGAGAAATTTCCATTAAAGAAAACTACTCTTTCTTGATTCCTGAATAAGAGAACTGGTGCTGAACTGGTAAGTTTAAGGGTTGATATCTCATAGCTTTATGTAGTTATCAGGAATGGCAGCTAGTTATGTGGAACTGGAGCTTTATCTCAAAAGAGGAACTTTTCTTTGGTCTACACAATTATTCTGTCCACTGCACATCACGAGTGTTTTTATCTGAATTTGTACAAAATGTTTCTAGAAATGTTAACTTCAAACTATTTCTCAGTGAGCCATCTGGTCTGATAGCAACTTCAAACTATTCAACTTTAATGTCAGAATTCCCATGTAAAACAGGACAAAACACTTCTGTAAATTGGTATATCAATGGGTTTAGTTGGTTACAATATAAAATCTTAATTTGGAGTTATTTGACTTACAATGCCATTGGAAGTTGTGGTATACATCATTACTCCATGAGTCATGCTAAATTCCCTGCAGGTAAGCATAAAGAAAAACAGAAAGCTACTACACCATTCCTGTTTTCTAGCTGATAAAGTGTTAGTGTATGAATTTATACTTTTGTAAATATCTTTGCTTTCTGAAGAGGGAAAAGTATTGTGGAGCACTGCACAGTGGTAACAAAACATTCCATACACCGTCAGTGTCTTTGTTAGCAGCTCCTGCAGCTCATGGGTTAAAGCATCTTTTAAGTGGTTACCAGTTTCAGTGCTATTCTATATGTCAGTGACAAGCACCATAGTGTAGGAAAATATGAGAATTCTAGTGCCGATTGTGCTATTTCTTTTCTTTTAAAATTTTGCACACAGTTCACCTATATTGTATAATTTATGTTGGTTGCACTTACTGTAGTAATTAGCATTTTAACTAAAACTTGTTCCTGATACGATGGTTTGTGTTCATTTGTAATGAAATGTTGCTTGCCACATCCAGTTCTTCAGAAATGAAGCACGACTTCCAGGCTAGCAGTTAATATTATGTGCCTGTTCTGCTCCATGGGACGAAAGCTACCAGATGTTTGGGAGTTGGCTGGTCCCATCATCCATAGAGGTCTGTGGCCTACAAGGCTCTGCCGATTGCACGTATCTTTAAATCTTTTCAGAATTAAACATCTGAGTAAAGTATTTGTGGTTTTTTTGACATATGATGCTAGTCTAGACATGCTTTTACCATTGTGTGCATTCTCTGTCAAACAGTCAAAACCCACTGAATTTCACGTAGTGTAGGTTGTGCCTCTTCGACTTCCTCTGGGCAGGCAGTTTCAGGACTTCATGTTGATTATAGCTATTGGTTCCTTTGTGCATATTAGTTTACTGCCTAAGCGATTTCAAATCTGGTTTTTGGGTCTCACTGTGTAGCCTGTGTGAAACAAATTGTAGCTGTATCCACAGGTAGCAATGTATTCACGTGTTCTGTCTGCAAGTGAAAATCAGCTAGCTCAATCTGTACAATTAAATGCAAATCAAATAATGGCTGTTGTTGCTGTAATATTAGTATTTCATAACAATAAATGAAGCGTTAGGTATGCACGTTCTTCTGTGTAGTGATCTCTGCCAGTATGAATCACTTACACTTACTTAGCTTTTGTCACCTAGGTTGTTTGAATCTGATACATTTGCTTTATCCAAGACTTCTTTCCTGAGGGAGAAACTCTTTTAACGGAAGTACATGCTTTCTGTGTAGTTCAGCAGCTGTGACAGTAAGAAAGAGGAGAACCCTACTTGTAGCAGGATAAGAGTGGTGTAATTTATGTAAAACAAATGCTTATGTAGCTTATGCAGGGCCAATTAGCTGTTGCAGTGTCTGCAATTCTTTTGCACGATATCTGTTTATATATTGAATCTTTACAGTATTGTTAGACCAGTTTTTCCATAATGGGGTAACAAATCAGGCAAGTGTTCTTGCAGACATTTTCTTCTTCTCTTTCTCCATAAAAGGATATGTGTACTTATGGCAATCTCTTTCATAATGGGTAATACTCTCTTGCCATGTTTTTAGTGTGATAGATGGTCTTTTCTATTCCTATCATTCTGGAATTTGGAGAGTCTGTAGCAGAAAAAACCCTTAAACAAAATAGCACTTAAACAAAATAGCGCTTGAACCAGGACTGGTAAAATATTTTCTGATAGATATGCAGAAAAATGGAAAATACTCACAGTTTGTTGTGGTTGACTTAGGTTAGAAGTCAGGTTACTCAGTGTCATTTAGTCCAGCCTCCCAACTAGATCTGGTTGCTCAGGGCTCTGTCAACTCTCTGAGGATGGAGTTGTCATCACAGTGCCTCCCATTAGGTAGCTGAAGGCAGCAAAGCTGTCTTATGGCTAAAAATATCTCTTCCTTTTAGTCACTCCTCATACACGGACATGCTTCAGCCTCATGATCATCTGTGGCCCTCCACTGGACCTGCTTTAATATGTCAATGCTGTTGTTGTATTGGGGCAGCCAAAACCTAATACCTAAGACCCCAGGGCCGCTAAAATGATTAAGGGACTGGAGCATGTGTCATGTGAGGAAAGGCTGAGAGAGCTGGAACAGTTTAGCATAGAGAAGAGAAGGCTCAGGAGGATCTCTTCAATGTATATTAATACCTGAGGGTAGGGCGCAGAGAGGACAGAGCCAGGCTCTTTTCAGTGGTGCCCAGTGACAGGACCAGAGGCAGTGAGTACGAACTGAAACACAGGAGGCTCTGTCTGCACATCAGGAAACACTTTTTCACAATGAGGCTGGTCGAGAACTGACACAGGTGGCCCAGGGAGTCTCCATCCTTAGAGATATTCAGAAGCTGTCTGGATGTGGTCCTGGGGCAGCCTGCTCTAGGTGACCCTGCTTGATGACCTCCAGAGATCCTGTCCAACCTCAGCCATTCTGGGATGTTAAAGCCCACATGGTACTTTCACATACTTACAGGTGCTTAATAAAGGGGAATGATCATTGATTTGCTGGCTGCACCATTGCTAATCCAACTCGGTATGCAGTTGGCCTTCTTTGCTGGAAGGGCACACTGCTAACTCATGTACATTTTGTTTCCTGTAAGGTCTCCCTTCTAATTTATAGCAAAGCTGCTTCTTAGCCGTCATAGATTGTACTGTGGCATGGTGGTTATACTGTCCTGTGTGTAGGACTTTGCATTTGTCTTTGTTCAATGTCGAGAGGTTTCAAACGTCTCTTTTCTCTAGCCAGCTGAGGTCCCTCTGAAGATGAGTCTTGCCCCCCAGCATATCGCATACTTCCCCTTGTTACCATCCATGAAGCTGCAGAGCGTGCATTCTGACCCACTGTGCTGCTTGTTAATAAGAGTGCTAAAGAGTATTAAACAATTTTAAAGAGTGTGTAGAGACCCACTTTTGATATTGGGGGTTACCTGTAGTAACTGGCTGCCAGTTGGACTTAGTCTTACTGATCATAATCCAGCAGGTTTGAGAGTCTCACTGATTTTCCATCCACTATTTAACCGGTGCCTCACCAGTTTTGCTGTAGTGATATTACAGGACGTTGTTGAAGGCTTTGGTAAAATCAAAGTAAACATCATATTTTGCTCTCCCTTTGTCCACTAAGCTAATCATGTTGTCACAAAAGGCATTTAGGTTGGTTAGACCTAGTTTGTCATTGATGAATCCACACTAGGTGTTTTCAGTCACCTTTTTGTCCTTTATGTGCTCAGAAGTGACATCCTGGAGGACTTACCATAGCCCTCCTGGGACCAGAGGCAAGGCTGAGTGACCTCTAATGGTCTGGATCCTCATTGTTCTCCTTGAAGATGGCCTTCTTCCAATCATTGGGGACCTCCCACAGTTTCCATGATCTTTTGAAGATAGTAGAGAGAAGTCTCGTAATGAAATCAGCCAGCTCAGATGCAGCTTATGTGTGCCCATGGATTTGTATATATCCAATTAGCTTTAGTGGTTCCTGATTTGATCATCTTTTGTTGTGGGCAATGCTTTGCTCCCACAGACTCTGCTATTAAGATGAAGGAGCTGGGACACCTAAGAAAAAAACCTTACCAATAAAACCAGAGGCACAAAGGCATTTAATACATCTGAGTTTTCAATTTCCTTTATCATTAAGTTCCCTGCCCTGTTAAGCAATGGTCTCAGCTCTTTTGCTTTTCACATCTCTAGCTAGTTTTGACTTCAGCTGAGCTTTGGTTCTGGTGTCTTCATCCCTACACACTCAGGCAATGTCTTCCTTTTTCCAAGTAGTCTGTTTCTGTGTCCATCTTCTGTGCCATATTTGCTTGTTTTTCTGAGTGTCAGAAGGGACCGTTCTTGTGCTTTGAGAAGGTTGTCCTTGAAAATCAGCCAGCTCTTCTGGGCCCCATTGTCCTTCATGGTAGTATCCAATGGATTCTGCCAAGCAGATCCCTGAACAAGGAAAGATCTGCTTTCTTGAAAGCCAGGATTGTAATTTTTATAATTTATCTTGCTCACTTGTCTCAGGATTTTAAACTCCATGTTGTTAATGGTCATTGCAGCTAAAATTCTCCTCAACTTTCAGAACCCCAACTGGTTCTTGATTGTTCATAGAAACAGGTCCAACAGAGCACCTACTTAGCTTGTCAGTCACCTGTATCAAAAAATTGTCATCAACGCTATCTACATGTGCTCCCAGCTCCCGTTTCATAATTAGTATACATGAGTCTTAAATAATTGAAAACTATGTGCTAGACCCTGAACTTGGAATGACTCAGCATACCTTTGATGTTAATAGAGCCATGTGCTCATGTGTGTTCACCCAAAGGTCTGGCCTCAAGTCCTAGATGGTTTTTAAGAAACCATTTAAGCACATGACTTGAGTTTTGATTAGAAAGACTGATTGAATCATCAGGTTTAGTCATCTGCTATCAAAGTATGTCATATGAATCCATTCACATCCTTCTGAGAAGTTACTTAAGGATTTTTTGCTCCTTTTGCTGCTACTGGAAGCATCTTTGAGAACATTCTGGCTGTAGTAGGCAATCTTCCAATTTCTGACATAACTGCTTCCTGTTCAGTATGCATTTATTCTTGGGGGTCTAAATTATCCTTTAATGTAAAAAACTCTACTTATCTTTTGGCATTTAGTGTTCTGATATTTACAGAGAGCCCAGCCTTATCCCTTCAGGCTATTTTGCTGTGATAAACAGTCCAAGCTGGTTTAAGCTGTCATAGACAGACTCTTGATTCCACTGTAGATGCCAGTGTCTCATCTCTGTTTTAATTACTCTTTCTTGGATATGAGTGATAGAAATCTACACCCAACTCCAGATAATGTCCCTTTAGTGCCTGAAGAGAGTTTCGTATGCTCAAAATTATGCTCGGTTTGAAATCACTTAAGGCCATTTCATTCATCCCTCTTCACTAACTTTTGTATCATATGTTGACAGTGACACCTCTAGATTTAATTGAGAAATCTGTAAAGTTTTGTCGCTGATTCTTAATACCACATTTTTGCTATATATGGTGATACATGGTACTAAGAGTCGTAGTTTTGAGTGAAAGTGGGCAGTAAGGCAGTGTTACATGATCCTTCAGTCTTAAGCAGGGAGCATTTCTATAGAATTTGACCTGGGGATATATGTGTATTTAGGGGAGCAGACATAAACCTTCTGTCTTTCTCTTAACACCTCAGACGGTGAGTCTTTGAAGCAGAGAAATACATATTTTTTATCTTGTATTGGGAATTGCTCTGTGCAGCCACTTCATTTGTATAAATACCTTGATAAAGTGTTTGTAGAGATTTTCAAAACATTTACTAATTAAAATGAGAGGACCTAGAAAAGTGAAATAGAAGCAAAAGCACTGTAGTCCTTACATTCTTTTATTTTTATAAATATTTGCATTTTGATTATGCTGTACTTAATACCACATGATGAAATGTGATATTGGATCAAAGCTGTTGCTCTTGCTGTAGCTGAGATTTGTTTAAAATGGCTGATTTATTGGTAGTATTCCATTATATTTCATAGTATTGGGTTACAGATTACTTTAGCTGACTATGTTCCAGTTAGCTCCAAAGAAGAGTATGTGATTTTGTCTCTCACTGTGGACAAAAGAGAGGCTTGCTGTGACACATAGCTTAATGTATAGAGCTGGTGAAGAAAGAGTTATAAAACGCCTGACATAAATAAGAAGTTACTCTGATATTCTCAGGTTCTATCTAAGGCTAGATGATAAAACTGTAAGAGCGGTGCTAAAAGTGGCTGGAAAACTTACATCTGATCTCTCTTGGTAATTACTCTAAAACTTGTCAGGTTTATCAGCTTTGGTTCTGCAAGGATTTATCCTGTGTCTGCTCTGTATTACTGTCATTAAAAATATGGATGATGGAATAGAATATGCTTATTTGATTTGCTGGCAATGTTACACAGAGGAGGATCTGCAGATTTTGGAGGATAGGTTCAGAGTTCAAAATTAACTTGACAAATGGTCTGAGGAAAAAAGTAATTCATAAACCCCAAAAGGATATTGTGAGGGGTAGAATGTAGGCAGGGAGGGCGGGAAGGATGATGAGTGTTACAGCAGTTTCAGTAGCAGGAAAGGCTATGTAGACTGCTGTAATATGCATGTTTGTTGTTTTCACCACTGTAATTAAGAAGTCTCATCTTAAAAACATGGTGACAGAACAAAGAAATACTTTTATTTTGGGGGTGGTTAAGTGAGGAACAGAGCTCAGTAGTTTTTGAGTGTCTAATTTGAGAGGCTCATCACCTGTTTTAAAGCAATTAAAATTTATGTAGTATTTAAATATTTAGTATGTAGCTTCAGCTAACTAAACTTGCACCTTTAATTTAGAGGTCACTTCTGTTGAAAATCAGACTTCCCAGATGTTTCAAATTACACAGCCATGAAATAAAGGACTCAGAGTTGGGGGGGTGGTGTGGTGTTGTGGGTTGATCTGTGATAGAGACAAAGATAGAATCTATGTCTCTGTGGCGTTTCAGGATTCGGACTGAAGAAATGCTTTTTATCCTTAACCCTTTCTGTTCTTGTCTCCTATACAATTTCACTCTCATGTCCTGCTGATAACAACCTCCTCAAGCCTTTGAGTTTCCATGCCACTACCACAAGATCCCTGCTCATTCATAAAGAATTATGCAATACTTAATATCAGAATTTGTTTTAATATATATGTGCACAAATGCTGTCAAGGTTGATGGCAACGTAAATTCTGTAATTTCTTAACAGCTAAATGTTTAACTTTTAGAATCATAGTCTACTTTAATGTGAGTTTAATGTATTTCTAACAAGTTCTTAACATTTGAAGTATTCTAATACTCCTGTGAACTATGGTGGTACTATATTTTTCTTTATACATTATAAAAGAAAATAGCTAAACATTAACTATTTTTCTTTTCCATATCAGATTGCGAAGAACAATCCTCACCTTCTCCCAGGTATCACCATGATAACTGATGGTCCTGCGTGAAAAGTCACAATCTTCTGGGAAGTCTGAAGTTACTTAGACAGCGGATGCTGAGTTACGTTCTAAATTGAGTGTTTTCTTTGATTAAGAAGGGTTACATATTTCTCCTGTCGCACA